CGAGCTGACACACATCTAAAAGGAAGGGCGAGGGCCGAAGGCCCGAGCTGACACCCATCTAAAAGAGAGGGCGAGGGTGAAAGGATGAGTTCAAATGGAGGAAAGACGAGGGCCGAAGTCCCGAAGTGACTCTAAGTGGAAGGATGAGTCCAAACAGAGGGAACACGAGGGCCGAAGGCCCAAAGTGACTCTAACTGGAAGGATGAGTCCAAACAGAGGGAACACGAGGGCCGAAGGCCCGAAGTGACTCTAAGTGGAAGGATGAGTCCCAACTGAGAAAACACGAGGGCCGAAGGCCCGAAGTGACTCTAAGTGGAAGGATGAGTCCCAATGAAGGCTAATCTTTTGTTCCAGGCATAAAAAATCGCTAGCGGCGCGCGAAGCGCGCCCCCAAAGCCGTTAGGCTTTCGAACGGGCAGAGCCAAATTTAAACCAAGAGCAAAATTTTACTGCCAGTGTCCTGATATCCACCGCAGTGGCCAAACCCATCGCTAGTTTTGAATAAACAAAAATTAAGTCCTTATTAAAAAAACAAAAAATAAAGTCCTTATTATTTTCTTTAAAACAGAGGCTTTTTTAAACTTTATTTATTTTGTTACTATCAATCACTTAAACAACCCTATTTAATTTTCTACAAATTTTTAGAAATCCATTGTAGCCTTATTTATGCGTGGGGGACTTTATTCCAATTATTTTTTAATAAAAAATAATTTTTAAATCAAATAAAGGTGGTTGGACACAGCCAGACGAGGCATGTACTCACTATTATGAATTAATTGATCAATATAGTTTGGGATTGAGAAAATTAGCAAATAAATATGGTTAATTAAAAATTAGACAAAAATATATAAATTTACAGGAAATTGTGGAGTCCCAAAAGTTGCCTGGCAAATAGATCCTTTTGGGCATAGTAGTGAACATGGAAATATGTTAATTAATGTAAATATAAATATTTAATTTAAATTAATTAATTTAAAAAAAGATTGGTTATGAAGCCCTTTTCTTTTCTCGAATGCATTATTTGGAATTAGAAAACAGAATAAAAAATAAAAGTTTGGAAATGTTATGGCAGACAGATGAAAATGGTAATTGATAAATTTAAGCTAAATAGAGACCGGACCGAGACGAGATCTCGATCAAAAATCTCGGTTATCGAGAATCAAGATTTTTCGAGATCTGCATTCTCGTACGACGCTCCAATTCCGGTCTCTAATATTAAACATATATTTTTTTGAATTTGATGTCTTTACGTTATTAACTTTTTTAAATAAGAAGACAATAATATAAATTTTTAAAGGAATTAAATTTAAATTATCTTCAAAAATTAATATTTTAATTAAAGGAGATGCTACAAGGCCTTTATTTACGAGTACCTTTTTTAAAGTTCCTCAAGGATTTTGTTTTGACCCTACTTGTCCTTACCCAGATTTTATAATAGACAATCCAGAATTGGAAGGATACAATATTGACCAAAAATTAAATGATTTTTTAAATATTGTTAATGAACAAGTTAAAGTCCAAAGACATAATCATGTTTTAATTTCAATGGGTGGGAATTTTACATATTCAAATGCTGAACTTTGGTTTAATAATCTCGATAAATTAATTTTGGCTGGGAATAAAAAAGTAAATATTTGATTTAAAAATTATTTTGGCTCGCGGAATAATTTATGAAATTTTTTTATTTATATGATCAGACAAAGGTAAAACTTAAGTAAATAGGTGCTGATAATATAGTAAAGCCTGTGTTGAGTAGGGAAAGAATTAATACTGTTGGATCTGATAGGTTGAGTAAGGTAGTAGGGGACCCAATAGGCGATGCAAGGCAAGTATAGGTGTGGAATGAAGATCTGATCATTCCCCTCCCTTCTTTCATCTTTGCCTAGCAAGAGATAAAGGGAAACTTAAAATTATACAAGTTTAGAAAAGACAATATTTAACAAAAATAATATTTTTTCTAATAATTTTTATTTTATTAAAAGAAAAACATTACAAATGTAAATATATTTTATTCAACCCCAACTTGTTACATAAAAGCTTTAGAACAAACAACAAAACCAAACTTTCCAAAAAGAGATGGAGATTTCTTTCCTTATGCAGATCAACCTGATAGGTATTGGACTGGTTATTTTACTAGTAAACCGTCATTAAAAGGATTAACTAGAAAGTCATCTTCTTTACTTCAAGTAATTTTTAAATTATTTTTTTATACATGCCAGGGCTGGAGAATTTTGAATTTTAAAAGGCGGACGGAAGAAACGGAGGAATATTAAAAAAACGGCTTTCCTATCCACCTAAAATAACCCCTCTTAATTACCCCACCTCTATCAATTACCCTCTCCAGAGAGAGGTCAAAACAATAATTACCTAGGGTAATTAATAAAGTATATACGGTAATTAATCTTTAAGAAAACTTTTTAAAATATTTCTAAACAATCCATTTTTAAGGTAACGAGAGCATTATATACACTAATGAAAGCTAAAACTAAATTAAATTCTGATAATTTAAAAATGGAATTATTTGAACGTTCTATAGCTTTAACAACACATCATGATGCTATAACGTTAATAATTTAAAATTAAAAAATTTAAAAAATTTTTTTAGTGGGACATCAAAAGAATTAGTAACTAAAAATTATATGAAACGTCTTTTACAGGGTAGGGATGCTGCTGAAGTAAAAAATAAATTTTAAAAAATAAAAAAATTTTTTTGATTTAAAGATAATATTAACAAATACTTTGGCTTTTTTAACGAAAAAAGAAGAAAATAAAATTAATAAAAATAAAACTTTAAATGTTTTCCCAACACAAAAATTATGTAGACGATTAAATGAAAGTTATTGCCCAGAAAGCATGTAAGTTTTGAACAAGGGTCGGATTACCCAATTCCCCTATACTTTTACGACCGATCCAAAGAAAATTTTGTAAACCCCAGCCAAAACCCAACTTTATTTTCAACCTAGCCCATCCATGGAATGAAAATAAATGTTTAAAGAATATTTAATTACTATATGTGTTTTTAACTGAAGACTAAATAATTCAAAATTATTTTCCCTTTTCGAACAATTTGCTAAATTTTGTTTAATTCTCATAAAAATATTTTGAATATAATTAAAGCCCCACAAAAATATATTTTTAATTTTCTATTCAAAAAATCCAATTTTAGGGGAACAGACAGCTTTACAGTAACAATTTTAAATGGAAATTCAAAACAATTTTCTGGCTATATCCGTATTCCAGTAAATAATCAAAATATTCAAATTTTATCAAATAATGGACAACAAATTGATTTTAGAGTATTTTTTAATTTTGAAAAAATTTTTCTTTAATTTTTCAAGTTAATTCCTTTATTTATATCACCACAATCTCAAAAAATAAATCAATCCAAATATGAATTAATATTTAAAGCAGATGTCGGGCCTGTTGGATTTACTACTTTTTTTGTTATTATAAACGAGTAAAGAAAAATAAATTAAAAAAATAAAAATAATTTTATTAAAAGTCCTTTATTACCCTCAAATCAAACACAAAATCAGCCAAATATTACAAAAAGTATCCCCGATTTGCCTCAAAATTCACAAAAATCTACACCAAACAATCAATTATCTACCACGAAATTACCAAATACTCCTTCTATTTCACCAATTTTATCAAATAAAACAAATGGATTAATTGAAAATAAAGTAAATATAAATTTATGTGTAGAGTTGCCAATTTTAAACCAAAAATTTTCGGTTCGATCTCAGTTAGCCAAAAATTTGTTGAAACCGATAACCCTATTTATGAGACGCAAAATCTGATCTATCTTGAGGACGGTTTTTGTGCACCTCTCTTTTTACGGATCTTTCCCTGAGTTTACGTCCTACAGTTTGTCCGAAAATATAATAAAAATTTAAAATGAGAAATAGAATATGTATTTGAGAATTCGGTCCAGGGCTCGGTGGCGGACATCGGGCCGAAAATGTTATGTCGGAACATTTAATGTCCTTTATCTAAAAAAGTCTGCAAAAATTTTTTAGAGCTTTAATAATTAAAAAAAAATATTTTTCAAAGTATATTCGTCTTAATTTTAATGAAAATGGCTTAATAGAATCTTTAGAAGATTTAACTAGAGAAAATGCTAATTTTAAATTTACACAAGAATTTCTTTATTATGAAGGGTTAACATCTGGAGCTTATATTTTTGGGTGATTTTAAATTAGAAAATATTTTTATATTGAAAGTTTTTAGGGCAAATTCAGATTTAGAACCAATACCATTTAACGAAACTACAAAAACTGAATTTATTAAAGTAAATTTAAATATATTTTTGTTAAAGTAGTTTATTTAGAGAAATTTTTAGAAATTATATTTATAGGGAATTTGTATATTACTACCCATCCCTTAAAATCTCGTCAGTATCCCATTTAAAACTTCAAAAAAGTCATCCTCTCTATTTCCATTTAACTATGTATAATTAATTAATTAATTTAGAATGATTTTGTACAAGAAGCAAGACAAATTATTAGTCCTTGGGTTAGTCAAATAATTCGGTTATTTGAAGATAAAAAATATATTGAATTTGAATTTCTTGTTGGACCAATTTCAATAGAGTTAACATTTCTTCTTTTTTTATTTATTTAAAATTAATTTAAAGAGAATTTAAATCAAAAGAAATAATTACAAGATATTCAATGCCAGAAATTAATTCAAGCGGTATTTTTTGGACAGATTCTAATGGACGTAGAAATATTCAAAGAAAGTAACTGAATACTTTAATTACTTAAATTTTTTTCTCTTTTTAAAGAAGAAATTTCAATAAATATTTTAATTTGGGAGAAAATATAAAATATCCATCAAGTGCCAATTATTACCCAATTACTAGCCGAATTGGGTTATCTGACAATTTAAATCAAATGAGTATATTAACTGATCGTTCACAAGGAGGGACTAGTTTAAATGATGGACAGATTGAAATTATGGTTTTTTTGGAATAATAATTAAAGAATTCTAAATTAAAGGTACATCGTCGTTGTGTTATGGATGATAGGTTGGGTGTTGAGGAAGTTTTGAATGAACCGGCAAGTTGAATATTAATAACCCTTATCTAATATGTTTCTTTAATTGACCTCTTTGATAAGCCATTAAAGAATAAAATATCTCCTGAATAATCCCTCAAGAATTGAAATTAGAATGGCATCGAGTTCTATTGTCAATAATATAATTTTTCAGACACTCAGGCTATAAAATACGTTCAAATATTTGATAATTATCGCTCCTAAGAGACATAATTATCAGAGTCGAGATATACCTAAATTTATTTTAATATGTATTGGAACCCTATAAAATCCTCCCATTGAAATTAAATTATGAAATATAATATTTAAAGTTAAATTATTATTATGTAGATAGAATATGTACATGTAGGTATAAATTTAACTCCATTTTTTAGGGCGAAGATGGAAATGGTTTAATTATTCGTGCCAAACATTGGCTACATTTTGGACCTAAAACAGAAGAACCTTCTTTAAATAGAATATTAGGCCTTCAACTCTTCCATGAACCAACACTCCTTTTTTCTAAATTTTTTGGAGAATTTAATGATTACAATAATAAATATTTAACTAATGTTTTTACTAAAATATTTAACAAAAAATATTTTTGTTTAAATTTTAGTTTTCAGCTCTCAATTTTGATTTACCTCCAAATATTAATTTACTTACATTTAAACATATTGGGAATAAACAAATATTAATTCGTTTAGAACATATATTCCAAACAGGAGAAGATGCTAATTTAAGTAATCCAATTTATTTAAATTTACAGGTAAATTTTGAAATATTTTAAAGAAAAAATAATTTTTAAAGACAATTTTTAAAAATCTTCGATTTCAAAAAATAAAAGAATTAATGCTTGCTGGAAATATAGTATTCAATGAAGTTGTTGATGCCGAGAATGTTAAGTTAAAACCTATGGAAATTAGAACCTTTATGCTTACTACATAAAAGAATGGGAGTTGTATGGGAATTACTATGTTTAAAAAAATAAATTTTTTCTAAATTTTGGAAATTTTATGAAAATAGAGATTGGCTTAGTTTAAGTATAAACATTAAAAGCATGAAAAATTAAGTTTAAGTTTTGTATCAATTTGCTATATCTCTATATTCGTTTATTATTAACTTTTTATTTCTTCCATTCCGATGGTGATTTTATCAAATCAAAGAATTTTTTTCTAATTTTTCTGCTTTATTTAAATTTTTCTTTATCTAATAATAACTAACTGATTTATTCCTAATCGGCAGTATTTCTTCAAAAAATAAATTTATACATATTTTTTGGTAAGATTTTATTGAGAAAGATGAATGACCACTAATTTATTCACTTATTATTTTTACTCATCGATACTATTAACTTGCGGAGACGAAGAAAATATGCACTGGGGAGGCTAAAATTTCCTATATAATATCTATTTTAAGTTGTTCTTAGTTTTACTATTTTTTCTAATATATTCTTGCAAAATGACAATTAATTAGTCAATATTTATTAATAACGTTTATATATCTCCTTTAAAATACATAAGATAATATTTTTTGGGTATTCCATTAAAATTTTTCTTCAATTTTAAGATAAAATTTAAAAATAATTTAATGATTAAGGTTCAGAATAAACTTATAACTTTCAATTTTCCTTAAATACTTAATTGAGTAAATTATATGAAAATCAGTGCAATTGATCAATCTAATAGGCCCTTTTGTATTTTCTCCACGTAAAAGTTTTGTACAATTTTTAACATCTAGGACATGTCGAGTAAATAGATAAATTAACTAATCAAAACTTTGTCCAAACCCATTTAATTATCCAGATCGATTCAGCTCGCCGAGATGAATCAAAATAAATTTAATTATTAATTTCCATTACTTACAGTTTTTCCAAAATATTTTTAAATAATGTTTAATTCACTTCCAATTGAAATAAAACTAGATTTATTAAAATGTCTCAATTTTGATCAATTATTTAATTTTCGACAAACAAATTTTTATTTTAATGAATTTATAAATAAAAATGAGGAAATTTTGGCACGAAAAGAATTTTATTCAATTAGAATTGTAAATTTTATAATAATTTTTTTGGTTTATTTACCAAATTTTTATTTTTTAGGAAAGGTATTGGGATGGAAGAGAATATACTCCAATAGGGGATAAAGTTATCGAATTAGATTTTAAATTTGGTTATTCTTTGGATTATAAATTGGATGAACAACTTATTGGGAAGGTAAACTATAATGAATTATTAAACATTTTTTAATGAGTAGAAGGGGAAACAAATTAAACAGCAAAAAAATCGCTTGCCAAACGTTAAAATTTTTTTTAAATACTTGAAGAATAGATTGTTTTGATAAAAGATTTTTCTTTAAAAATGATTTTTTAGTGGCAATCTTCACTTAATCAACGTCAACATCTTTATTTTGGTGAACTAATATCTAGACCACAATTTAAAGATAATTTAGTTATTACAATACATCAACGTAAAGAAATTTTGAATTTTTTCAAATTTTAATCTTTTTAGGTACCAAGGATAAAAAATATTTTTTTCGTTACTTAAAATTACCATTATGCCCTAAAAATATGGAAGAAATGAAAATTGCTCGTTATTTTTTGGAACAAATTTTTCGTTGTTATTTTCATTTTATTGACTTTGGACTCTATATATTTTTTCCGGAAATGATTAAATTACTTTTTGAAAATGATAAGACAACAAAATTAAAATTTAATGGTCAAAAAGCTACTTTATATTATTATGAGCAAATTAATCCTTTGGATTTTGCTTTGAATCATTTAGTAATTAATGAACTTTTCATTAGTTTTCTTAAATATAAAGAAGCTAAAAATGAAGATTATAATAAAAGTTTAATAAATTTTTTAATGAATGAAGGTGCTAGATTTACAAAAATTAAATGGGATTTCTATAAAATTAAAGGACTTTTCTATTCACTTATTAAAGTAAGTTTGGAAGTAGGCTATAATACTATTCAAAAAAGGCTATAATATGTATTGAATTTCATTTCGATCAAAACACCCTCGCTACTTCCTCCCATCCAGAGGTGGGTCGGAACAGTCAGAGGTGTCGGAAATCGGAAGAGTAGGAAATCGGAACTGGCTCAAATGAGGAAATCGGAAATCAAAATTTTTTTCGGAAATCGGAAGGAAAAAAACGTCGGAAATCGGAATTCCGACCCACCTTCGCTCCCATCTCTGGTATTTGTTTCACCATAATCCTCTTTGGATCCCTTATTTGTAGACTCAGATTTTGACCCTTTAACTTGTATCAGTCAATTAATATTTAAATTTAGCAAATAGAAACTTCAACAAATTGTTTAAATATTGTGGCCAACATTGAAGTTCACGCATCTGAATCGTTTGATATTGATTTGAATGTCAGAGCAAAAAATAAAACCAAAAATGGAGAAATTACGAGTTTTGAACTTGACAATATTTACAATCCAGAAGTTACCTTCCTTGTTAAACATTGGGAACGAGAAGAAGGAAAAGTTTATCAGTTTCAAATTGAGCGAATAAATGAATAATATACCAAAAATTTGAAGATATATGCTTTGAGGGGAGATTTCAAATAATTACTCCCCTCTCTTAAACCTCTCCTTATAAACGTTAAAAATTACCAGGGTTAATTAATTTAGCATACACTGCCTATTAATTAAAGTCGGATCTCTCAAGTACAAACTAGGGGTGTATCGAAAAAAATTTTAAAAAGTAAAACGTGAAAGGCGAAAGCTGGACGTAGTACACCCCCTGTATATTCGCATTTGAGTGCGAATATACAGGGGATGATCTATATTTTCTAATTTATTTGCCACAGGGATCCGACAATTTTTAATTTATTTACTTTATTAAGCTTTTTTCTATCGATAAAGAATTTAATTTCTGATAAATTATTTTTAATTTAAATGTAATTTAAAGAAAGAGATGTAAAAATTTTGGATCTAGTTTGAAAATTAATAAGATAAATAATTGTGGATAATATGTTTTAAAGTGTTCGTATTTTCGAAAATTAGTTTAAAAACTTTTGCCAACAATTTTGTATTAAAATTACCACAAAATTAATCACTTAAAAAATTAATTATCTTCTTCTTTTTGTTTATCAATTTCTTTTTCTTCTTTTATTATATTCATCATATTATTATTATTCATTTCTAAAGCCCATTTTCTTGGATTAGATTTGGCAAATAAAATAAAAACAGTTATTGCAGTAAATACAAGTATAGAAATTGTTGAAAATATATATGTCCACTTTAAATTTTAATTTAGATTTATTAAAATTACCTAATTATCAAAGGTGGGTCGGAACAGTCAGAGGTGTCGGAAATCGGAAGAGCCGGAAATCGGAACTGGCTCAAAAGTCGGAACTCGGAAATCAGAATTTTTTTCGGAAATCGTAATTCCGACCCACCTCTGCTATTTATTTACTTGTTTAATTGTATCATCTGGTGCTGCGGCAGCAACAATTCCTGGAAGTATGAGGGGGACAATGCTTATTACCATATTAGTCCAAGAAATAAGAACTTCTGAATGTTTAAGAGCTATCTAGAAATTAATTAAAAATATATTTCTATTTCCTTCAGCTCTAAGGGAGTTAAAATTTAAATTACAAATTGTGCATATCGAAATATTCCAAGAAAATCAAGTCCAGTGAACATATTAATTGTTGAATAAAATGGCAAAATAAACAAAATTGAAGAAGTTAAATAAGGAATAAATGCTAAACCGAGCAGTGAAATACAAATACCATACTTTAAATTATTTATAATTAAAGATTTTTAATAGGGTTGGACATGACCGGTTTTAAAACATTGCTAAAAATTAACCAATTTTATTAAATTTTAAAAACCGGAAGTTTATGAAAATGAGTGGCTTTTTAAGAAGTCCCTCCGAAATATTATCGGAGTTTAACTAAAACTCAAAACCGAAAACCGGATAGTAATGGTTAACAATTTGTGTCCAACCCTAATTTTTTATTTAAAAATTACTTGAGCTACTCCAGAAAATAATTTAACTTTAGATTGTTCACTTAATATTTTTGAGATTAATTTATCATCAAGAGGACCAATTAATAATTTTGAAAACATTCCAACTAACGGAGGAAGTGCAGAAACTAAGCCTGTTTCAGTAACGGATATTCTGAGAACCTTAAACCATTTAAATATAAAGCATAGTCTTATAATATGCACATTATAAGATACACCTTGGGGGTTTATATGATATATGAAGCATATATTAAATTGGGAATATGGATCACATAGACAGCCCCTCCCACCCACTAAGGTGGTGGATCCTTGAGAATTTCCGAATATCCGGATCCGACATCCAGACCGAAAATTTCCGGATATCTGGCCTTTTTTCGGATCCTGTTATCCGGATCCGTCAATCTTATCCTACACACTAACAAGGGTAGATCCTTGAAAATTTACGGATATCCGGACTTTTTTTGGATCCGGATCCACCAACTCTCTCTTTGCACCCGTTGCCGATCGAATTAAAAATAATTTTAAATTGAGGTGTATCTAATAATGAGCGTGTATCTAGTAATGAGGTGTATCTAATAATGAGCATACTATCATGTATTTATTTTACTTTATTTAAATAATATGGCCCCATTTCTAATAAAAATTGAAAGGCAATTTCACTGCAAAAAAATGTTACAAATAACAACCAAGTTGTCCAGTCAGTTAACATTTTATAATATGGAGCTTTTTGTTTTTTGTTGTTTTCTTTATTTTCTTTTTCAGCTTTACCAAATTCAATTTCTTTTAATTCAATTTCAGATATCCATCTAGAAAAATAAATTTATTTTTTAATTTTTAAAAATAAAATTTACGGATGTTCAGAAGGACAATCACGAAAAATAAAAAAGAAAATAATTGTAAATATTAAAGTTAATGTAAACATTGTATAATATACTCCTTCCCATCCAAAATTACTTTCACAAAAATATCCAGCTGTAGGCATTGTAAATAATTGACCAAACTATTTTTTAAAAATAATTTATCAAGATCAAAAATGAAGATAAATTGTAAGACTTGGATTGCGTTGACAAAAAAATTTTCTGAAGCCGAGGACAACCCTATATACTAGGGGAGTATTCAAATAACCTTTTAACCCAAATAAGGTTTTTATGTAGGGTAGGGTTGTTCTCCGACATGGGGAGGGCCACGGGCAGTGATGGGAAAGTTCCAAAATTTCTCTGGAACCGGTTCCAGTTCTGTAACTGCTTTTTGAAAAATGTCTCAAATTCCCCGACTTTCCGGTACGGGGGAGTATCAGGGGTTATTTGTAAAAATAACATCTTTCCCAAGTAAAATTTAAAATATTTTATAAATTCACTTGAAAATGTATAGAAGTTAAAATTAAAAAAGTAGCCGTAGATGTAACAGGCGCCCATTTACGTGAAACTATTGAAACAACAACATATTGAGCTGCAAAACATGTACCCTATTTTTTTAAAGTAAAATTAAATTAAAGCTTTTTATTTTACTTGAATTATTCGCATTAAATAGATAGACCAAAAACCAAAAATCTTGTCTCCAATAGGAATACCTAAAGTAGACAATGCAGACATTATACAAAAGCCAGTTATTGTATGTCTAGAAAATAATTACAAAATTATAAATTGTTAAAAGATTTTCTTCGAACCTAACAGAAAATAGTTCAATTAAAGGAGAGATGATTAAACTTCCAATAATTGACCCTATAGCAGGTCCAGAAAATAAAAGAGAACGCTCAATTGCTGAAAATTCATTTTCATCATTTTCTTCTTGGCTGCCTGGAAATTAAAAAGAATTTCGTCTCTGGAGCTAAAAATTTTCTTCTGATTCTTCAAAATTTTCTAACAAATCTTCCGAAAAATTTGCCAGACCCTCGCACCCCCCGGGGGAGATGTTATTTATGTAACTAACTCAGAAAGGGACTATTTTAGTGTAAATATATATTTATTACCATATTTATTTAAAGAAATATTAAAATCATTTATTAATTCAGTTTTTACTGGATTCATACAAATTATTGTGAAATTTAATAATAAACAATTTGAAAATATTAGTGCCATACAAATAATTGAAATAATTAGAATTAAATAACGAATTTTTAAAATATTAGAGAATTTGACTTGAATAGACATATTGATGTATGTATTAAATATTTTTCTTAAAAATTTTAAATAATTTTATGAATATGCATGAATTTTTTGGTTTTACTTATCAGTCTTAATAATAATGTTCAATGAATAATTATTAATAATATCCGAACCAAAATTATTAATTAAAAATTTATAATAATTCAATTAAAGGAGAGATGATAAGACTACCAATAATTGCCCCTATAGCTGTTTTTTTATAAATAAAAAAATACTTTGATAATTAGTGCCTGGATTTTTAAAAATTGTTGTCTATTGGTTAATAGATTTTATACCTAGAATTTTTTTATTTGAAATATGTCATCAGAAAATGAAATTTTTAAAAATATTATTTAAATATATAAGTATGTAATAATATTTAAATAGTAAATATAATATTAAAAAAAATTTTTAGTATAATTTTTGAAGGAAGATTTACATATTTTTGTTAAATTACAATTTTTAACAATATTGTTAAAAATTATATATTTAGTCAAAAATTATTTTTGCAAAAATAAAAGATCATAAAATGTACCTATTTGTATTATAACAATAAAATAAACAAATATTGATAGGCAAGTAGGGCCTAGGTTTTTAAAAATTATTATCACTACTTAAATAAGAAGTCTGCTTATGATACTAAATGAAAACAGACTTCGGCTATAACAGAAATAAATTAGCCAAAATATGTATTAACGAGAAATCCCCAAAACTAGTAACGAGAAATGTCCTTTTGGGTAGAACTTATCTTAACTATCAATTTTTCAATATTTTAATAAAAAATGCAAATCAAAAGCATGCCCATGTGCCAGGTATCACGCACGGTTTTCGGCTAAAATGCATACATTTGTAACCTCGTCTAAAATACATTCGAAACGAAAATATGGAGATTCGATAGAATAAATACAAGAATCAACCTCGAATCCCGACCTTTTTTTACTAAAACTCCGATGCCGATGAATCAACATAGAAAAACTTCGACACCGATAATTTTAGCCAGAAATTTCAGAAAAGTTAGAGATTTATAATTTCTTTAATATCCCTCAAAATAACTGGGTGGTTATGTGGTAAGTCCCTAGTTAAAATTATTTTTTAATGCTTTAATCTTCTGTGCAAACTAATATAAAAACAAGACTAACACTAATAAACCTTCAATTCTGGTTTCGTAATTTTTAAATATGTATCTAACAACCGTGAATTTACCCGTTTGTTTTAGAGTTAAAAAAATTATTAAACTTAAAATAAAAATGAGATTTTTTTATTTTTCTTAGATATTAAACAAAAACAAAACAAAGATTTTGAATTAATAAAATTTAAAAAAAATTTGGGGAAAAGGTTTATTAAAATCAGAAATTCTTCGGTTTTAGACCCACGTTTTTTCTTGTTTCCCTTTGTGGCATCAATTTTCTTTTTATGGTAATATAACATCAGAAGAGCTCTTTGAGCCGAGTCGAATCAAAATAAAATCTATGAAATCTAAAACCGAAGAATTAACTTAAATTCGATTAATATGAAAACTTGTAATATAATCTGTATCTAAAGGATGGCAATGAAGTATTACAAATTTAATTTTAGAATTTAAAATATTTTCAATTTCATATTTTACAAAATTGCAATTCCTTCCTTCTACTTTTAATAATTCTTTTTCTATATTTTTGGCTCTCTTTGGCAAATCAGTACGAAACCATTTAATATAAGGAAAACTAATATTAGAAACCATATTTGAGCAATTTGAAGTTTCTACATTCTAAGAAGTTAAATTTAAAAATATAAATATCTGCCTCTTTTTCCTTCCTTACAACTAGGTTACCCAATAATGAGGGAAAATGTCTTAACGATAGGATTGTCGGTTCTGGGTCAAACCCCGAAAAACCGCTGATTTTTCGGTTCCAACCGACAACTCTACTCATCGAGCGATGTTACCAAATCAGGATTTCTGATCGAACTAATCAAGAACTCAAACTTAATTTAAAATAACTTGGAATTTAGATGTTCTAAAAAAGATTTTAATCTTTAGAAGATTGGCCGTTCTTTTGGAGAAACTTTCCCCCATTTAATTTTTTGTCCTTTGTTATAAAATATGTATTTATTTCTCAATTAATTTACTTACCCTAATTATTAAATCAAAAATTTCCGAATCAATAGAAGAATTTTGAGGAGCCCCAGAAAACATTGGCTCCAAAAAAGAAGTCCCAAAAAATAATTTTTTCTGTGTTGTTTTAAATCCATTAATCAAAATCCGATTAAATTTCCTTCTTTCATTTAAAATTAAATTTAAAATAATTTTTTTATATTGAGTAAAATTGTCTGTTCCGTCAAATTCAATTTTTAAAAATTCATTAATTGTCAAATTATTTAAAATAAAATTTAAAGCCTCATTTTCGTAATTTGGATTGGAATAACAAATTAGAGCTTTGTTGATATTTAGGAGATTATTTAAATTTTTTTCTTCTTTAAATAATAATTCAATTAATTTTGGATTAAATATAACACAATTAAATTCAGCATTTTCAAAAAAACATAAAAATAATTTTTCTAACCAAAACCGACAAATTTTCATTTCTTTAATATTTTTGGGGTATAAAGGCAGTTTTAGAAGTAAAAATGAAAAAGAATCTGAAAAAACATAAAGAATTTTTTTAAGATTTTCCCTACCTTCTCCCATTAAACGAATAACTATATTCTGTTTGCAATGTTTCAACCTTTCAGTACACAAATACAAAGGGATTTGCCTGTCTTCTATAGATTGCCACTAAAAATTTTTTGAATTATTTTTTATGATTATTTAGATTTACAGTAATACTTTGGTTGGAATTAGCCCGGCACGGGTCCCCGTACGGGATTTTACGGGATCCCGTCCCGGAATCCCGGGTTTTTAGTGACAAACGGGATTACCGGGATTAATCCCGCGGGATCCCGTCCCGTACAACATTTTGAAAAAAAATCCCGTTAAGGAATCCCGGCAATGCGATTTTGCGACCTCTAGTTGGAATCCCCTTCTCTACTTTTTTATTTATCGTTTCCCTGACCATTTTGAGCTTTTTTGCTTAAATGGAGTATTTAATCAACCAAAAAATTTTTCGTGAAATCAATTTTTAGCTAAAAAATAGTTGATTTTCATTTCACTTTCGTTTGTCCCTATCTTTTTGTCGACTACTGTATTACAAAATTTACTTTTTCCAAAATTTCCTCATCCAATTTAATTTCACTAGAACCTAACTCAATTCTTTTACACAATTTTGAACATTCGTTGAGATTAATCTAAAAATAAAAATTTTTAGAAAAAATTTTATTTAAAAAACTAAAGATATATGGCTGAATTTTTGTTTTGCCAATATTCCAATATATCGATCAATCAAAGCTTTAAAATGGATATTTGTTTGTTGAAAGGATATTAATTGTTTAAAATTTAGGCATTTTAAAATATCAAGTTTTTCTTCAACAAGAAGATTATAGTACATTAATTTTATTTTCCTAAAATAATAAAAAACTTACTTCGATTTTACACAAATAAAATGAAAAAAATAAAAATTTTAGTTTATCGAGCACAGCAGACTAGCGCAGGCAAAAGAGGGAAATACATAGAGCGGAATTGAAATCTTGGTTAAGTGGATAAGAGCGCTGACTACAAAATCGTTTAAAAATGGGTCTCAGGTTCGAGCCTTTTCATCGTTAATTAATATTTTCTAATTAAATAAATAAAATAAAACATCAGAAAGCATTTTAAATCTTTTTTTGCTATTCTAAAAACAGGGACAGGAGACTGAAATGGTCAGACTTGAATGCTCCCTCTATTCTTGGAAATTTTTAGTTGTCGAATTTACTGGAAAAAGGCTTAAGGATTTTCGTTTTCTTTTTACATTTCTGCATATTTTAAAATTAATTCTTAAATATTTTTAGCAAAAATTAAAAAAGAAAATTCTTCAAATGCCTTACCCAGCAATTTGGACAAGATCACAACGGGGTCAATTGTCAGCAGATTATGAAAGTGTTGCTTTTCCTGGCAACACGTTTATTTTCCTACATAAGCGTAGAACTCAACATTGTTCCTATTTTCGATGCGCATATTGTGCAAAGGCGTTAAAGGTGTTTAGAAAAATTTTTTTAATTTTTCAACCATTTTTAAGCTTCGAATCAAACGTAAGGCAACAAGATTAACAATACCTATAGTTAGAGCTTCTCTCGAAGAAGGATTTTTGGATGATCCAGACAACCCATTTCACCGGCATTTTTGTATTGATGAAAAAGAAGTTGATACAACAACATATGCAGCTAAAGCTAGATATATTTACAAGTTGGGGATTTCTTTTAAAAATATCTCAAATTTCTTTGTTTTTTAAAGTAAAGTAAAATTGGAATTGCTGGATATGCCTATGACACCTCGTCAGGCTTGGCTTCAAATGGAAGCTGAAGTTATTGCTAATTTTCCTGATACTCTGACACAACAAGAAATTATTCGGCGTTTACCAACGTAAGTGTAAATAATTATGAAACAATTCAAAAAAATTCTTATCTAAACAAAATAAGTAATATTGAACCGGACAGACCCCTTTTTTCCTCCCCAATTTTCCTCTGTATTTTTGTAAATGGTCAGACTTTTTCCTTTCTTCCCTCCAAATTTCCTTCCTAATTGTTGCGTACAATCAAACGAAAAGGACTATTTAATTCTATACAATAGGGTTGTACCTCGTCCCCGAAAGTCGGGGAATTTGAGACATTTTTTGAAAATTCCCCGCCCCCCCCCCGTCGGGGAACAACCCTACTATACAAGTGCATTTACTTTAAGTCTGTATTATTTATTTTCTATTTTAACAGGAGATTAAAAATATTGTTCTATTTCCAAATTATATTTCATAATTTTTCAAAAATTTTCTTTGTCTCTCTTCCCTTCCCTTTCATTATCTAAATACTTTTATTTAAATGTAATATTTTATTTAGTGATAAATCAGCAAAAAGAAGCTTTGCTAGGCGTAGCTCTATTGGGAAGCGGAATTTGGTCGAAGACCTAGCAATTTTTGGAAAAGATTATAAGGAACCTGTAGATGATTTTGAAGCAAAAAATGAATTTGAAGCCGATGATCTTTCCCTTCTTTTGGATGCTGGGTTGGTGGAAGACAACAAAAGTTCTGATTTTTTAAAAGCTGATTCTTCAAAAGTTCCTTTAGATTTATTGGTATATTTTTATATTTAATTTACAAAAATTTTGCGGATTTTTACCTAATTTTTTTATTTTAATCCCCCTTATCTTGTTTAAATTAGAGATCGGAACGGGTCCCCGTTTCCCGGTTTTCGAGTCTTTTTTTCCGATTTTTTGAAGCAACCGGGATGCAACCGGGAACGGGAATTCCCGGTTTTCCCGGTCAAGGTCCCTCCCGGTCAACCTTCAGAACCCGGTTTCCGCACCCATTTTTTCAAAATTCCGATCTCTAGTTTAAATTTAAATCGCTGATTAAATAAAATATGTAAACTCCGCAAAATTTGTCCGCTAAAGCCTCAAAAAATTTATTTTAAATAGAAGTCAAGATCTCCCCGCCCTCCTTGGATTTGTTCTCCTGGAAGAGAAAAACTTGCAAATTTCTTCCTTATTCATCGTGAATGCCGTCCAGATTCTCCACATTTTATGGTTTTTTCTGATATGATGGGAATTAATTTAATTCATAAAGTTTTTTAAAATTTTTTTTTAATTTTCTAAAATTATTTTTAAAGTGTGCAGATATTGTTTGTGACGGAAATTCAAGTTTTTACCCCTATGGATTCGCACAATTATATACATTTCATGCTGTTCATCATTCAATTCCAGAAGAGGCTCATCTTTGCGCTTTTGCTCTTTTACCAAAGTTTTTTTTAATTTTTTAGAAAAAAATCTTATAAGGAACAATATCGAGCTGTGACCAAAAATTTTATAATTATTTTTATATTATCGTGTAGAGCATGATCGATAGCCTATTTTTCTTTTTAGGGTGACAAATAATAAGAAAAATTCAACTGCTCCACTCAGGCCCGTAGCCAGGATTTTTTATCGGGGGGGGGGGGGGCCGGAGCCTGTTATAATACCAAAAGCTTATAATACCAAACCCCCAAAAGCTGTTAAAATACCAAACCGTGGAAAAAAGCTTAAAATACCAAAACCCCAAAAGCTGTTAAAAAACCAAACCGTGGAAAAAGACTTGAAATACCAAATAAATACCAAACTTAAATTTATTGTTATTTCTGTTAAAATTTTTTGTTAAACTTTGTTGCTTCGAACTTTAAAATTTTTTTGTTTTTGCAACAACAAAGATGTTGTTGTTCCAATTGAATCTTTGCTGGAAAAACTGTATTTGTGCTGCTCCGAAGGTTAGGCTGGTCATGGTCTTCGCTACACGATGGCAGATGTGCTGTTGGAACAACATCCCCCGTGCGGGAACAATCTTCCCCGTCGCTGGACCAACATCCCCCGTCGCGGGAACAACCTTCCCCGTCGCTGGAACAACATCTCTCGCGGCGGGACCAACATCCCCCGACGCGGGAACAACCTTCCCCGTCGCTGGAACAACCTTCCACGTCGCTGGAACAACATCCCCCGTCACTGAGTCAACATCCCATGACATTGGAACAACACTTTGGTATTTCAACAGTATTTGGGGGTTTGGTATTTTAAGCTTTTTTCCACGGTTTGGTATTTTAACAGCTTTTGGGGGTTTGGTATTATAAGCTTTTGGTATTACAATTTTTGGTATTTCAAGCTTTTGGTATTTCAAGTGATGGTATTTCAAGCTTTTGGTATTATAACACGGTACCGGGGGGGGGCAAAGGGGGGAAAATTTTTTCTGCGCCAAATTTTTGGCGCCGAAGGCGCCAAAAATTTTTATTTTCAGCGCCGCAGGCGAAAATTTTGAGAATTTTAGAAGGCCGTATGCCAAAAAATTCACTTTTTCGGCGCCGCAGGCGCCAAAAATTTGATTTTCAGTGCCGCAGGCGAAAATTTTTTGAATTTTGGACCTCAAAAAGCCAGATTTCTTCCTTTTTTAGCGCCGCAGGCGAAAATTTTTTAAATTTCAGAGGCCGTAGGCCAAAAAAATTTACTTTTTTTGTCCCAGCCCTTCCCCAAATTTTTTCCTTTTTCCCATTTCGGGGGGGGGGGGGGGGGGGGGGGAATTCCCCCCCTCACCCCCCCCCCCCTGGCTACGGGCCTGGCTCCACTCAACCCCTCAAAAAGTCAAAAAACTTTGAGGCCCTGTAACTTTCTGCTTTGGGGAGTAGGGCCGAAAAAGGAAAAAATTGGGAATAGGAAATCGACTTTGCTCTACACGTTGGTATAAAAATAATTAAGAAATTTTTGGTCACAGTTCGATATGGTTCCTTGTTACAAATTTTTTATTTTAGTACTTCATCTGTTGCTTATATTAAATTATTTGATATTATTTCTCAAAAATTGTTTACTGAATTTGGAGATCATGGAATTCAAAAGGTTACCAATTTTAATTATTTTTATTTGATAATTTATTTTTAATTTTTAGAATTGGCATTTTGATAATCAGGTTTTGTTTATTTATGAAAAACGGAAGGGATTTTTCATAGAAATAATTTTTTCAGGGGATCCATTATTCTAAAAAGGGAAAAAATGAACTTAATTAATATCCCACCCCCACCTCTATTTGAGTCTCAGATTAATTTTCCTTTTTACTGTCAATCCTTTATGTTTCCTCCTTTTTTAATGCAATCATTTTTTCCTTAAAATATTTTCCTCAAGATTTTCGAACCTTACCAAAATTAATATTAAACGATTCCTCTCATCGAGATAAAGAGATAGATACTAAAAATGGCAAGGGCCAAAAAATATTACAAAAAGTTATGTTTTTGCGTTGTATGGCTAAAATAAATCTTTTAACAATTCGGCCCTTCAGAAAAATTTTTTAAAAATTTTTAATAAAAATTAATTTTTTAATTTAATTTTTAGTTGGCAGCAATAAATGGCTGTAAATCAATTTTTATTGAAGATATTGTTGAAGGATCAGAACAAAAAACTTCAAATTTTGCAAAATTGTGGCATGAACATTTAAATTCTTTATTTTTTGGAAAACATCCAGGATTAAACAGATTTATTAGAACAATGAGGGAAGAATTGTCTAGAGCTGGGTTACAAGTAAATTTCGAATTTTTAAAAGAATTAAGATGATTTTAAATTTTAAGGCTGAAAGAATTTTTCGTCCACCAGATTTTATTACTTCAATTAATTTGGATAATATTGAGGTTTTTTATAAATTATTTTAAAAATATTGAATGGCTGAAAATAAATGGGGATTTTATATAAGAGTTTAGTGTCGTTTCGGTTTCGGTTATCCGAAGAATTTCCAGGAACCGACAACCTTATAAGAGAGGTTTTCTTTAATTTTTGCCTAAATTTTTGTGAATTTTTCGATATTTGTGGTTTTATTGAGTACATTTTTACATTAATTAGAAAATTTCCGTGATGGAATGATTTGAGAAAATTTATTTTTAATTAATATTGACGTAAAAATTTCACATTTTTACGATTTTAATTAAAAATATTTTTGATTCCTTTCTCTTTATTATTAAAATTAAAATTTTTTTAAGGCTGTCAATAATGTAAGTTATATAAAAGAGGAAGAAAATATTTTTGATTATCCTTCAAATAATTATGATAATTACAAAACTTTAAATAAAGGAATGAAAATTACCAATACTGAAATAAATGATAAATTAGATTGTAAAAGAAGAAGTGATAAAAATTCAATAAATGTTGATGATGATTATTCGTGTAAGTTTTTTTTAACTAAAAAAAGAATATTATTCCTCAATTTATTTTAAGCCTTACATTCTTGTAAATTCCCTATTCATCAAAAATCAAGAAAAAGGCAAAATGAAAGTTCTGACGGAAATTAGAAAATTAAAAAAAAAATATTTTTCGCAAAAAGTCATTTAATTTTTATTTATTTTTATTTTTTGATTAAATAATTTTAGTATGTATTTTTTAAGGAAAATTAGAAATTTCATAAAGTTATGTGATTTTTAATAGCCCTAGGAAATGTTCAGAAAAATTTTAATTTATCCCAGAATCCCTCAAAAATTAGAAATATTAAGGGTATTAAAATGAAGTTAAACAAGATTATTTTTACCAGACCTGGTCACGGATACTGATCTTGGTAACCGCGTCAGGGTATTTACTGCGGATACATGCGGATATCCGCAGGCATTTTGATATTATCCGTATCCTGACCAGGTCTGATTTTTACTACATAAATATAAATTATTTATACATATGTATTATTTACAGTAAATGTTATAAAATTTAAAAAAATAATATTTTCAAAAAAAGGCTTTTAATTTTGTGATTAATTGAAATAATTTTCTTTATTTAAATTCCACAATTTGTGTCAGTACTTTTCCACCAACATTCCACCTTCGCATCTTCCCAAACTTTTGGCGCTTGATCAACAACTTTGTGTCCATTACCATCTCTAACATAATGTTTCACTTCGTCTTTAACTAAATTTACTTTAAGTCCACGAATCTCAGCGACTTGAAACTGAATTTTAGAAAAATAAATTATTGTGCTATTAAAAGTAAAAATTTGGTTGTAAAAAATTGGGGGGAGTTTCAAAAAAATTTTATATTTTTATAAGGAAGAGGCATCCAGCTGGCTAGCATTTAAAACGCTCACTAGACGGGAATTTAAGATCTATTAAAAGAGCAGGTGAAAGCAGCGTCAAGGTAGCGCAGTCGGTAGAGCACCTGTACGTGGTGATCGGAAGCGCCAAGCGATAACTGCCAAGAGGTCTCAGGATCGAAGCCTGCCCGGGAGTAAACTTACTAATAATTAAATAATTATTAATTATCTAATAATTAAATTTTACTTTAAATTTTTTGTCATCCAAATTAATATCCGGGAGCAATACTTTCTTAACACTTTCTTTCCCTCCACAACTGAATTAAAAATTTTCTTAAATAATTTCGTCTAAAATAACTTGTGTGTTATATGAAGATAAATGTTCGTGTATGTCTTGTCAGGAACTGTACTACTGAATATTTGGCCGCAAATTCGATGTGTCAAAATCACAGGAAGAGAAAATGAAGAACTTCCCAAATTTATATTTTCACCTAATTTTACTCCAATATTCAAATCTTTAACACTTAAAGCTTCAAATTCAGATTCGTCATCGCAATGAGATAACCAATTTCCTCCTTTCTCAAAATGAGTGACTCGTAAACCAGTTATTTTAGCAGCAGCACTAGGACAAATGGCACATCCATCGAGAAGAATGAGGAACTCTATAAATATTAAATATTTAATTCACGTTTTACTCAGTCTCACTCCTAATAACCTCGCCATTTAAGCATTCCCGAGTGAAGCATCCCCCCTATCCCCCTCCCTACCCTCCCGCCCCTCTCACTCTCCCCAGCCTCTAAGGAGGGAGGATACCCATAACGATAGCCCAGCCCTTCTACCTATTTGCTGGTAATTCTTCCTACTTTTCTTCCCTACTTTTATTCCGATCCTTGGCAAAGTTCGATTCAGCAAATAATTTGTCTTCAAAAAAGTTTATCTAAAATTCGAAATTTAATCTTAAATATATAACTTTTATCCGAATGGACTCACAAAGGAGCCTCTTAAATCAGAAACAATTAATATTGATGTCAATAAATAAAAAACAAAATTTAAATTTAAAAACCATGTGATTGTAATTAAATTTCTATTTGATTAAGAAGCAGTTCTGTTATTTTTTGGTGTTTTTGATGGAATAGGAACATTGACCATGGTTTTTGAATAAAAATTTAAGAAATAAATTTGATTCTTAAATAATAAATCTTAAATTAAAAAAAATCAATTAAAATTAAAAAATGAAAAATAATGTCTAGGAAACCAAATAAATTGAAGTCAATAAAAAATTGGAACTTTAAAAACCATGGACATGTAATAAATTAATATTCGCTTAAAATCAGTTCTTTTATCTTTAAGTGTTTTGAAAGTAATAGGAACATTGCCCATGGTTTTTGAATAAGAATTTAAGAAATAAATTTGATTCTTAAATAATAAATCTAAAATTTAAAAAAAATCAATTAAAATTTAAGAATAAAAAATAATGTCTAGGAAACAAAATAAATTAAATTAAAGTCAATAAAAAATTGGAACTTTAAAAACCATGGACATGTAATAAATTGATATTAGGTTAAGAAGCAGTTTTTTTTGTGCTTTAAAGTAATAGGCATAATGACCATGGTTCTTAAATAAAGATTTAAGAAATAGATTTGATTCTTAAATAATAAATCTAAAATTTAAAAAAATCAATTAAAATTTGAATAAAAATGGAAAAACAATAAGGTCGCGACAGCGAAAAAAATAAAAGGTAATTTATGAATATCGATTGGGACATTTGAGTATTAAGTAAACAAAACGCCACAAAGCAATAAACAGCCGTTTTAAAGCCTGAAAAAAGTATTATTATTTGAACTGGGTTATGGTTTGGGGAAATATTAATATCGATAGTAAAGACGATTCTTATTGGTATATAAGAATGGCAAGTATATAAGCTAGATGAGAGCGAAGAGGTGGGAGAGGGTAGGTGGAGGGAGAGGGTAGGTGGAGGGAGAGGGTAGGTGGAGGGAGAGGGTAGGTGGAGGGAGAGGGTAGGTGGAGGGAGTGGGTAGGTGGGGGAGTGGGTAGGTGGGGGGAGTGGGTAGGGGGTAATGTTAGTTTTGATTTTTAATATCAATAGCGATAATATAGAAGGCTATTATTGGTACTTTCTAGTTCTATAAGGTAGGATCTTAGGGTGTTCCAAAATATCTTATAATTATCAATGTTAACAATCTCTATAGGTAGGGAATTCCAGAGATTAATGGATCTGTTAAAGATCCAGTGTTCAGTTTTGGAGGTTTTACGAGCTACTTTTATTTGATAATTATGTCTATTCCTATTAGGTCTATCAGATAACATAAAGAATTGTGAAGAAGTAAAGTGGGTGTGATTTTTAATGATCTTAAAAATAGTTGATAAATCGAATAAAACTCTTCTGAGGGCCAGTGATTCGAGATTAAATAATTTTAATCTTTGGATATAATTTTTTTTATGGATTTTACACTTAAAAAGAGCCACCCTTGTATACCATTTTTGCACCTTTTCTAATTTTTCTCTATGTTTTTTAGTTTTGGGATTCCATATTACCGAAGAATATTCCAAAATTGGCCTAATATATGTTTTAAATGCCATACCCCAAATTTTGGGATTAGACGTGTGAAGATTATTAATAATTGAGATACCCCTAAAATAGGCATTTTTTACAATTTTTTTATAATAAGGTTCAAAAGATAAATTATCTGTATAATCAATTCCTAGATCTGAGATTGTAGAAACACATTTCAATGGTAGACCATTGAAATAGTAGTTATGTTTAGGATTATTAGTACCAATATGTAAAACTAGAGTTTTATTAAAAGAGATTTCTAGAGCATTATCAGAACACCATTTAGAAATTTTATCTAAACTTGATTGGAGATTAGATGAATCATTTTTATTACGACATTGATAAATCTTAAGATCATCTGCAAAAAGTGAGCTATTGATAGACGTAGGAATAGAGCTTGATAAGTCATTGATGTATATAATAAAGAGAACAGGAGCTAAAATTGTGCCTTGAGGCACACCGGAGTATAATTGAATAGTTTCAGAAAATTGATTGTTAATTTTTACTTTGGCTGTACGGTGGTTTAAAAAATTAGAAATCCAATTTAGTACTTTACCTCTTATACCAATGGTATGTAACTTATTAATTAAAAATTTTATGGGGACTGAGTCAAATGCACTTTTTATATCAATGAAAATACAATCGATTATTTTATTGTTCAAGATTGCATCATACCAGCAATTGAAGTTAGACAGCATTTGAAGGGTAGTGGAGCGTTTTTTCATAAATCCAAATTGACTATCAACAATAATATTGTTAACATTAAGATGTTCAATAATGTGATTAAGTATTAATCGTTCCATGACTCTACTTATGGCAGAGGTTATAGCTATTGGTCTATAGTTAGACGGGTCAGTTTTTGAACCTTTTTTAAAAATAGGAGTAATATGAGAAATTTTCCATAATTCAGGAATGTTACCTGAGTCCAGTGATTCTCTAAAAAGATCTGATAGAAAAGGAGATATAGCAGAACGACATGATTTTAGGATATTATAGCTTAAATTATCATCTGAAGCACAATTGTTATTTGGTAGAGATTTTAGAATGTTATCAATGTCTAATATGCTAAATTCAAAGTCATCCAAGAATGAATTAATATTGTAATTTGTTAGCTTAGGACAAACTGAAGTTGGAATATTTGAAAAAGACTTGGAAAAAACAGAAGCGAATGCATCAGCTTTAGCTTTATCTTCAAATATAAATTTGTCATTAAGTTCAATACAAGATAATTGAGATTTTTTACAGTTAAATTTATTTAAAAATTTAAACAGGTTATTTTGGTTAGAAACTAAATTTTTTATACGTTGTGACTGATAATTATTTATAAGATGCTTAATAGTTTTAGTCAAATTCTTGTATTGGTTTAAGTCTATAGAATTGACTTTTTTATAAGCTTTAAATATTCGTTCTTTGTATTTTATTAATTTTTTAATATATTGTGGATATTTAGGCTTAAAAGGTTTAACAAAAGTGTTACGAATAGGAGCATAAATTTCCAATAATTCATTAATACTTTTAGCAAAAAATGAATATTTATCAGAAATAAAAAAGTTTTCATAGATTTTATCAAAGTTTCTTATTAGGTGGGTATTTAATAAATTTATATTAGAAAGGTCCCTATATTTGATTATTTGGTGTGGTGGCGGGAGAGCTTCGATGAAAAATTTAATAGAAAAATGATCAGATGTGGAAAGTCCTTCTATAACAGAAGTTTCAAGGCATGAAGAATTATTAGTTAAAATAAGATCTAAGGTACTACCGTTGCAATGTGTAGAAGTAAAAATATTATTGGAATAATTGAAATTACTTAAAAATTCTAAAAATTCTTTTCCCATTTGGTTACTAGCGGTAATGGATTTCCAATCAATAATGTTTGAATTAAAATTAAAATCTCCTATAATTATTACATTACCATGGGAAATTGTTTGTAATGTGTTAATCAGCTTTCTAGTTATTATATCTTTGATATTAGGGGGTCTGTATACTAAAATAATTCTAATAGAGTTATTATGTGATGGTGTAATAATATCGATTGCTAAAACATCTATACCAAGTATTTTTGTAAGTTCTATCTGTTTAAATGGAATACCATGTTTAATCAATATAGCTACTCCACCACCCTTGGACTTAAAGTTAGAATCTCTATTAGCTAATAAAATGTGGTAATTTTTTGATGACGTTAAATATGATAAATGATTATCAGTTTCTGTTAACCATGTCTCACTAAGTAAAATAATATTAGGATTATGGGTGGCTATTTGTAAGTCTAACTCGGGAATTTTGTTTCTAATGGATCGAACATTTTGATAAATACAACTTAATCTATTTTTAAAGGAATTATTTATAGGACTATTGTTATCGATATTAATATTTCCGCTTTGTTTACATGGAGCCCCAGGTATAAAATTTTTTAGTTTATTGCTTTGGCTAATTTTGTTTACGAAAAATATGTACCTCCGATCTCAAAATAATTGTGTCTGCATAAACAATCCAATCCTGATCAGGATTTTCTTGCCTCTTCTTCTTGCACTCATCAATTAAATGTTTCCTGCGATTTCGTTGTTCCAATGTCAAGGATGGGCGCATGTTGAGGTGTTGAAACATTTTCTTTCCATTAATTTTCCATTGTTTAATTGCCAGTGTCTGAAAAGTTCTTGTAGGAAAAATAATTTTTAGTAATCTTGACCGTTGATTGGTGGGTTGCTTAGACACTCCCATGCGAAAAATACTTTTAGGAGTGCACTCGATCCCCACCGTAAATTTTTGTGAATTTTTCGATATTTGTGGTTTTATTGAGTACATTTTTACATTAATTAGAAAATTTCCGTGATGGAATGATTTGAGAAAATTTATTTTTAATTAATATTGACGTAAAAATTTCACATTTTTACGATTTTAATTAAAAATATTTTTGATTCCTTTCTCTTTATTATTAAAATTAAAATTTTTTTAAGGCTGTCAATAATGTAAGTTATATAAAAGAGGAAGAAAATATTTTTGATTATCCTTCAAATAATTATGATAATTACAAAACTTTAAATAAAGGAATGAAAATTACCAATACTGAAATAAATGATAAATTAGATTGTAAAAGAAGAAGTGATAAAAATTCAATAAATGTTGATGATGATTATTCGTGTAAGTTTTTTTTAACTAAAAAAAGAATATTATTCCTCAATTTATTTTAAGCCTTACATTCTTGTAAATTCCCTATTCATCAAAAATCAAGAAAAAGGCAAAATGAAAGTTCTGACGGAAATTAGAAAATTAAAAAAAAATATTTTTCGCAAAAAGTCATTTAATTTTTATTTATTTTTATTTTTTGATTAAATAATTTTAGTATGTATTTTTTAAGGAAAATTAGAAATTTCATAAAGTTATGTGATTTTTAATAGCCCTAGGAAATGTTCAGAAAAATTTTAATTTATCCCAGAATCCCTCAAAAATTAGAAATATTAAGGGTATTAAAATGAAGTTAAACAAGATTATTTTTACCAGACCTGGTCACGGATACTGATCTTGGTAACCGCGTCAGGGTATTTACTGCGGATACATGCGGATATCCGCAGGCATTTTGATATTATCCGTATCCTGACCAGGTCTGATTTTTACTACATAAATATAAATTATTTATACATATGTACAGGGTGTTTCAGCTGAAAAGCGCTATTTGAAAATTTAATAAACTTTTACTGCATGGACAGATTTAAATGAAATTTTGTATTTTGCATCTATATTTTATGGCAATTTTTTTGACATAAAAATTATGTCGAAATTCGAACCCTAACCCGAGATAATTTCGTACTCTATCGTTCTGTTTTTCCCTTTTTCCGCACATGCATTCTTACTCCCTTTTGTTTGTTACAAGCGGCGATAGACACTAGAGTAAACACTAAGCGATAGACACTACATTTTCAATACAGTATCCACTCTTCGCCATACGCAGGAAAATAAATGCACTAAGATAGCGCGTAATGAAAATAGAAAGAAAAGAGAACGGTAGAGTACGAAATTGAAACGAAATTGAAATACGGGGTTAGGGTTCGAATTTCGACATAATTTTTATGTCAAAAAAATTGCCATAAAATATAGATGCAAAATACCAAATTTCATTCAAATCTGTCCATGGTGTAAAAAGTTATGGATTTTTCAAATAGCGCTTTTCAGCTGAAACACCCTGTATTATTTACAGTAAATGTTATAAAATTTAAAAAAATAATATTTTCAAAAAAAGGCTTTTAATTTTGTGATTAATTGAAATAATTTTCTTTATTTAAATTCCACAATTTGTGTCAGTACTTTTCCACCAACATTCCACCTTCGCATCTTCCCAAACTTTTGGCGCTTGATCAACAACTTTGTGTCCATTACCATCTCTAACATAATGTTTCACTTCGTCTTTAACTAAATTTACTTTAAGTCCACGAATCTCAGCGACTTGAAACTGAATTTTAGAAAAATAAATTATTGTGCTATTAAAAGTAAAAATTTGGTTGTAAAAAATTGGGGGGAGTTTCAAAAAAATTTTATATTTTTATAAGGAAGAGGCATCCAGCTGGCTAGCATTTAAAACGCTCACTAGACGGGAATTTAAGATCTATTAAAAGAGCAGGTGAAAGCAGCGTCAAGGTAGCGCAGTCGGTAGAGCACCTGTACGTGGTGATCGGAAGCGCCAAGCGATAACTGCCAAGAGGTCTCAGGATCGAAGCCTGCCCGGGAGTAAACTTACTAATAATTAAATAATTATTAATTATCTAATAATTAAATTTTACTTTAAATTTTTTGTCATCCAAATTAATATCCGGGAGCAATACTTTCTTAACACTTTCTTTCCCTCCACAACTGAATTAAAAATTTTCTTAAATAATTTCGTCTAAAATAACTTGTGTGTTATATGAAGATAAATGTTCGTGTATGTCTTGTCAGGAACTGTACTACTGAATATTTGGCCGCAAATTCGATGTGTCAAAATCACAGGAAGAGAAAATGAAGAACTTCCCAAATTTATATTTTCACCTAATTTTACTCCAATATTCAAATCTTTAACACTTAAAGCTTCAAATTCAGATTCGTCATCGCAATGAGATAACCAATTTCCTCCTTTCTCAAAATGAGTGACTCGTAAACCAGTTATTTTAGCAGCAGCACTAGGACAAATGGCACATCCATCGAGAAGAATGAGGAACTCTATAAATATTAAATATTTAATTCACGTTTTACTCAGTCTCACTCCTAATAACCTCGCCATTTAAGCATTCCCGAGTGAAGCATCCCCCCTATCCCCCTCCCTACCCTCCCGCCCCTCTCACTCTCCCCAGCCTCTAAGGAGGGAGGATACCCATAACGATAGCCCAGCCCTTCTACCTATTTGCTGGTAATTCTTCCTACTTTTCTTCCCTACTTTTATTCCGATCCTTGGCAAAGTTCGATTCAGCAAATAATTTGTCTTCAAAAAAGTTTATCTAAAATTCGAAATTTAATCTTAAATAAATTCTCTTTAAATTACCAAAGCACAATTTTTAATATTATCAAACCAAACATTTCCGCACATTGGCATCTTAAAATTAATTTCACAATCAAATAAACTCGTTTCTTTATTTACCAAAGCAATCTTAAGGAAATGTTCATCACAACTCGGTAACGCCGTAGGGAGAAGGAAATTGTTAGATTTCTTTCCTTTTACCTGTTAATTGAGCAAATAATCTTCTTAAAAATTATTTTTGTGTACCAAACAACTACAATACTCAATTCCACTTGCTTTTTCACAAATATATCCTTCTTTGCCTTTGTTTGTCTCAAAAAATTTCTTCTCGCGATATTCTCCATCAGACTTTAAATTTAAAGGATTTTTAAAAAATTTAATTTTAACGACCTTATCGACAAATTTAATTAATATTAAAATAATAACAAAAATAAAATAAAATTTTAAAGTTATCATAATTGAAAAAAAGTTAATTTTCTTAATAAAAAATTTAAAATTAAACTAATTTTGATAAAATAAAAATTAAGACAAAATTAAATGTTTGGGGTGTTTAAGTTTTATTTTGATATTAATTAAAGCCCTTCAGTTGTTTAATTTAACTACTATTTTAATTAATTTTAAAACCATAAAAATATTTTATAAAATTAGAAAAGCCAGAATAAAATTAAAAAATTATGAATAAGACCATTAGATAAATGACAGGAAGAGGATAAGTATAAACTAAATTAAAAAATAATTGGGGGAAAATTCTACTACTATTACTCATTTAATTAATCACTTAATTTAATTAAAATCCAGTAAAAAAATTAAAACCCAACAAAAAATTTTATAAAAAATAAATAACAACAAAAATAAAAATTTGATAAAATCAACATAAAAAATCAACAAAAATTTAATGTTTAATATCACGGGGATGTGCAATAGATAATTGTATCTTTACATTAACAGCACTAAGTTCGGCACAAAGATAGCGAAAAACACGTGGTATTTGAACTTGAAAAACTTGATCATCTTTTTTACAAAGCGAGCAATGAATTTGAGTAAATTTTTGAAAATCATCTTCAATAGCGCCATATTTAAGCATCTAAAAATAATTTTAATTTAGTCTAAAAAATTATTTAAACTCACAGCCATGTGTGGTTTAAGTTGACTAACAGAAACTATTGAACCACATCTTCCACAGACATGAGCTTCTTCTTTGTCTGAACAATTTAAAAGACGATCCTAAAAAACTAAAAATAATTTTCGGCTCTAGTTTAGGACATGCGTCCCATGAACTTTAAAGCGTCACATGAAAAAGTAAAAGCGTCAAAAATAGTATATGCGTCCCATGAGAGAATAGGAGTCCCAAAAACTGCACGGGCCGGAATCCCTTACGGAATTTTTAATTATTCCCATAAATTGCCATCGTCGCTAAAAATAGAATGAATCTGGGTCCTAGGCCTTCCAAAATCTCAAAATGCTGAAAGCCTAATTTTCTAAGAAAAAATAATTATTAAAATTACTTGTAAGCAAAAAGCTGTTCCATGGGCTATTAATGAATCTCTTTCCATTTCCCCAAATCTAACACCCCCACCACGTTTACGACCTTTTACAGGTTGAAGAGTAACTTTAATTTAAAAAATATATTTAAAAAATAATTTAAAATAAATGCCTGGATCCACAGGACCGGTTGAACGACATTGGAATTTATCAGAAATCATATGCCGTAAACGTTGATAATAAACAATACCGAAGAAAATTTGAACCTAAAAATTATTTTAGCTAAAGGAGAATAATTTTTAGGTTTCGTTAGTTTATTACAATAATCAGAATTCTAGTCAAAACTCAAAAAAAAAACAGAACAAAACGGATTGTAAGGATGATATTAGGAATAACTAAACAACTGTTCAAGGCTAGGTTCAAAAGAGCTATTTCGAAATTTGTATTTTCGAAGATTTTTTTTGTTTTGAAACAAAAATTGAAAGTCTGACTTGCTTTCCCTTTTCATATTGTTCCTTAAAAAATATGAGGAAATAAGAAAATAGTAAATGCATGAGGAAACAACGTAACTCAAACACCAATTTTTGCATTTTCGACAACCCCCAGTTAGTATGACAAAATGCCCCTTCAATATCAAATATTTGAAAAAATTCCCACTTTCATTTCACGTCCATCCACGCCTGAATACATAGTTTCTTCTCCATAATGATTATAACCAGCTCTTGATAACATTTTCCCAAAATGTTCTATAGCCGTATTTTGTTCACTTAAATATTTATAAATAGAAAAATAAATTTAAAAACTACTTAAAAACAAAAGGAGAAGCATCAAAAGTATCCCCATGTGTTGCTGCTGCTTTTCCAGCCATACTCTCAATCATCATTCCAATTGTCATTCGAGAAGGAAACCCGTGAGGATTAAAAAGAATATCTGGAACCATTCCAAATTCAGAAAATGGCATTGATTCTGGAGGCCAAAGAAATGAATTAATTCCTTTTTGACCATGCCTTGATGCAAATTTATCTCCAATAATTGGATTCCTTTGAATTCTCCATTGAATTAATGCATGCTTTTAAAATTTTAAAAATAAATTTAAAACTAGACAATTTTGTGGGAGTGATGAAAACCAAAAAGACGTCGTGTTTTTATTTTTTAAATTTGACAAATGAAAGGTCTAAAAAACTATAGAAAAATCCAGGCTCCCCCTCCAAAATCCAGGCTTCCTTCCCTTCCTTCCCAGCTCCCCTTCCCTTCCCAAAAACACACTACAGCAACCCAATCCCAACTTAAGAATTAAAAAATAATCGAGTACCACTTTAGCATCAGGAACATTTTCATCTCTTACAATTCTAACAATTCCACAATAACCAGGTTCACTAGAAGTATATTTAAATTTTCTAAATTCTCCACTGATCAAATTAAAAGTACTAAAATAAAAAAATAATTTTTTTTCCAAATTTTAAACTACAAACCAATAATAAAAATCTCCATATTGATAACAACGCCCTTGAATTGGAAGTCCATCAGCATCTAAACTGGCAGGTCTAACATCATTTGGTTCACCACAAAATACAACTTCACAATCGGATTTCCTCCCAAAACGTGCATTTGAATGCTCTGCTAAATTTATTCTTTCAACTTTAATTACTGTTCCGTGGGCAAATCCTCTTTGATATGATCCCTTATTTATTACCATTGCATCTTCCATATCATAACCTTAAAATTGATGGGAAATAAATTTTTTTTAATTAAAATTAACCAGTATAAGAAATTACGGCAACACAAGCATTTGTTCCCAAAGGATATTCATCCATTTCATATTTATCATGAGCCTCTAATTTAAGTAAAGGTTTTTGTGGAGTTTGAAGTAAATACATTTTGCCGTCAGCGCGGTGCCTCCAAGCATGAACTGGGACCTAAAATATAATTTATAGGGAACCGGACTGATTCAGGATATAAATTAAATAACTAGGAGGAATCCAGAGTTTTTTAAGTTAACGAAAAAGTCAAAAACAGGGAAATACCTCGAAACTGAAAATGGGTGAAAAATCGGTACTTTCCGTTAATCGACCGCAAACTGATTGTGAGTACTTAATAATCTAAAAGTTTTTATTTCACAAACCCCCATTGTTTGCTTTCCCATTTGACACTGATAAACATTTCTTGGCGATTGGTTGTGATCAGGAAATGGAATTAAATTCCCCGCAAAGGAGAAAAGTGCAGATGGATGCAATTCTTGATGCATAGTTACACCAGGTTCTGCTTCATCAGGATCAATAACAATCGATAAATAAACTTGTTCAAACATACCTTCACAAAAACAATTAAAATTTAAATAAAAATTCCAAAAATACCAATATATTCCGTTTGCCCATTCAATAATAAATTCTTAACTGGACGATAGAGCCGGCCAGGAAGTGTGTAGATATATAAACCAGGATATTGAGTTTGGATATTTTCGGGATCAGGGGAATTTCTAATCAAAGTTATTTCAGCAAATTTTGAAATCTTAAAATTTTTTTTAGAAAATTTGAAAACTATTCTAATTACTCTGTCATCGAATTCGCTAACTTTAATTGCTCTGAGTTGCCTTTCAACAAATGCTGCCTTTCTACACGATAAATAACCAACAAAATTTCCATCAACAACAACAGGATAAAGCTAAAATTAGAACATAAATATTTACATTCATAAATAGAGATCGGATTTATATTGAAATAGGGCAAAAAACGACCTTGGATATGAACAAGCCTTGATGACCAGAGTTCGAATAGAAAAGACAGAAATGACCAGTAATAGATGTGATAAAAAATGGAAAGACAGTGGTCAGTTCGCGGGCAGGGTCACTTCAGTGATTTATTTAAATATAAATCCGATCCCTACTTATAAATATACAGCTGAGGAAAGCTGGGGAAAGTTAAATATGAAAAATATAATAAAAAATCCTTCGAGAAAAAAAATTCTTTACAGGTTCATCCGGAAGTATTGCCAAAGAACTGTGCGGAATAATACCCAAAGACGAAAGCGTTTCTTGTAATTTTCTAGGACTTTGAGTAAAATGTGTAACAATATTAGTTGATGCAGTAACATGATTTAAAAGGCCACAGGGAGCACCGTCAGGTGTATGGACCTTTAAAAATAATTTTAAAATTTATTTTTAATTTCAAAAAAATACTGGACAAATAAATCCCCAAGCTTCAGGTCTCAATTTTCTAACATCCGTTGTACGCATTTCCATAAAAAATGCACCACGATGAATTGCACTTGAAAATAAAATTAATTTTTTTCTCAAATTTGAAAAAAAACCGAAAATGTGAAACAAATCTCAATTGATTAATTCTTTCAGCAATAACAGCAAAACCAGTTAATTGCATTAATCCAACACCCGTTCTTGTAATTAAATTCCCCGTTGCTAGAAAATATTCTAGACCACGAGAAAGTTCATTGTTTTTATGTGAAGAAAATGCTTTTATAAATTCCTTGCTATTAAAAAATAAAATTAAATAATTAATTTAAAAAACCTTGTAAAATTAAATGTATCAGGCCTTTTCTTTGCAACAATTTCTAATTTTTTTCTAACAATTAATAAAATATTTTCCATTCTTTCTCTAGAAATTAATGCCAAAATATGTCCGGAAACTGAAGCTTCCTATAAAATAATTTTATTTTCGTCAACAATAGAGATTGGAAATTTTGAAAAGCCTGGACATGTTTCTGGACTTGATTTCTTGACCTGGACTGATACTGGGCCTGTAGTCCAGGAAAAACCCAGGCCCAGGAAAAACACAGAAAGGGCAAAAAATGATTGGACCTGGACTCTGGGAAAAAAACCCAGGCCGATCTCTAGTCAACAATTCAACAGTTTTGTTTGTAAGAATCGTCCACAAAATCTTAGAGATAAGCAATAAAAAATTTTTTATTTAAGAAAAAATTTTGTAACCTGAAATTGTGGGTTATCAAGAGATTCTGGCTGAATTTCATTTTTAACCAAAGCAACTAATTTTTGTGCCATCATAGCCAAACAATAAAATTTCTGTTCATCAGTTTTTAAGTGAACAGCCAAACAATGAGTTAATAAAAATTGGCAAGCCTAAAAAGTATTTTAAAAATATTCCTAAAATTTAAAAACCGTTTCATCATCCTCCCATGGTGCAAGTCTTTCCCCTAGAGCAACACGAAATTTACTTCCAAGCATAGCAAAAGCCGATTTTTTAGAAACAATGCCTTCTCCCCAAAATAAAAAATTTCTTTCAAATAAAAATTTAAAAAAAACCTGCGCAACCGTTAACATATTTCGAACACATTTAGCCCAAAATTGATCATTAGGCCTTCCAGCAATTAATTGATTATAAATTTGAGCATCATTCCAATCGACCAAACATTTAATTACGTAAATTAAAGGAACATAAAAAATTTCACGGCGATACTTTAAAAAGATTTTTTCACAAAATAAGGTTAAAAAGAATGGTACTTTATTGATATCCCGCCCCACCCTTGAGGCTCAGATTAATTTTCAGTTTTTTACTGCCAATCATTTTTCCTTCACATTACAGGTAAAAGGCAAGCATTAGGAAGGAAATTTGACCGTTCCGAGGCAGGAAAAATAAAAAGGAAAATTAACTCAGATAGGGGAGGGGGCGGGATATGTATTAATAAAATACCAAAGGAACAAAAAATACTTGTATAAGAAGTGTCATTGAAAGACTTTCAAGATAATGTAGAGTAATTAATGAACAATAATGATTTCCTCTAAAACATCTCATCATTACAGCAAATTCAGAATAAAGTTTTCCTTTAGAATAAATTTTAGACAATTTTTTAAAATTAAAAAAACCTTTTTCTCTAAAAGTTTTCCTTTTAACCGCTAAGGGATAATTACGTTTATTTGCGATAAGTAGGCGCATAATTTTTTCTGAACCATTTACAATAAAATAACCACCTCTAGAAAAATGTTTTAAAAATTTTAAAGTAGAATTTAAGAGAAGAATCCATAAATGCTTTCATGGAAAAAAATTAGGTACTTATTAGTTATCCCAGTTTTTGCGGACATATTTATGCGGACTCATTTTTGCATGGAATGGTCAAATGTTCATCTTCCTCGATTTCACTCAATTTTCCCTGTGTTGATCAATTAGGATAGGGCAAAATCAAGTATTAAGCAAAGGTACCCTTTTTACTTCGATTCCAATCGACTAACTAAAGTAGAGAGAAATGAGGAAAAATGATATAAGGAACCACCAATAATAAAAAAAACCTTTCCAAAGCTTCCTCTCCTTTAGCAATTAATTCTTTTCTTTTCAATCCATATAAATTACATCTATTAGAACAAAGCATTACAGGAATTTCTGCCAAAAGTAAATCAACTGTATCAATCTTTCTTCCATTTAACTTTAAAAAATTAAAAATAATTTTAATACTTTTCCGTTATACGACCGCAAACTGAGTGCCGGCGAAATTTTGATCGGCTATCACTTTTTAATGCTTGATCCAATACAATAAATTTTATGTCATTCGAAAGCCCTCGATAAGCTGTATATTTCTTCTAATAGGCTAGGTCATGTCTGATCACTGATTAAAAAGTTATAAACCGTTAAGTTCAGTTATTCGATGTTTTTCACGTTTGTCGGGCTATAACTTTTTAATATGTGATCAGACCTGATCCATCAAGTTGGAAAAAATATACAGCCTATCGAGGTCTTTCGAATGATATAAAATTCATTTAAATTGGATCAAGAATTAAAAAGTTATAGCCGATCAAATCTCTGCTGTCACTCAGTTTGCGGTCGTATAACGGAAAAGTACCAAAGTTTTTTAAAATTTAATTAAAAAATACCTGTAAATCAATACAAACGTTAAGGGGTGCTCGATAAGTTAATCGTCTTTGTCTACATTCTGCTGGATAGATTGGACAATTGCCTATATCACCACCCATTTTTGAATTATCTAAATGAGGCTTTCCTAACCGAGCATTTGTGTACCAAAATTCAACAGCATCCCCATTTGGTAATTTTAATTTGACAGGAGGAATGTCTTCAGCAATTGCTTGAAATCCTTCATCGGCCAAAAAATTGAATGATTCGACGTGATAACTATAGAAAAAATTTTTTAGATAAAAAAATAATTAATATTATGTAAATTTTACCCAGAAATATCACAATCCATTGATGAATATTTAGAATTCAAGGTGATAAAAAATTTAGTTGCAGGGAAATAACAAGTATTTTTAATACTAAAAGAAAATGTAAAATGGAATCAAAATTAAATTTACAAAGGAATGCCGAAAATAAACAAAAATTTATAATGATAGGCCCACTTGGGCGCGGGCACCCAGGCGCAACGACATTTACAAAGGGAACCTTTCATGTTGCACGTGGGAAAGAGAGACCCTCGAAAGATTTTGGTATTTGGCGGTTCAATCGACTTATCTCGACGAGAAGAATATTATTCCTGGTAATATTGAACCTGAAAGACCCCAGTTTTCCTCCCCAAGTTTCTTCCTGTATATTTGTAGAATGGTCAGACTTCTTCCTTCAATTTTCCTTACTTCCATTCAAGGGGAATTCCTTTTGATTTTTTGTAGGCAAAATATAGAAGGGCAATTGGGAGGGAAGAATGGAGCAAGTCTGGCCATTCTGTAATATATAGGAAAAAACTTGGGGAGGGATACTGTATTTAACTCTAATAGAGCGGCAGCCTCCATCTGAACGGCCATCTCCAATAGAGCGCCTCTTTGAGACGGGATTGAAAAATAGAGCGTCCGGCCGCTTAGAAAATACGGTAAATGGGGTCTGTCAGGTTCAATATTACCTTATTTCTAAATACCGTATATACTCTATTAATTACCCTGGGTAATTATTGTTTCGACCTCTCTCTGGAGAAGGTAATTGATAGAGGCGGGGTAATTAATAGAGGTTATTTTTAGCAAGGATAATTGTAACTGTTTTTAAGGGGGTAATTATTGTTTCAACCTTTCGCTAGAGGGTAACTAATAAAGGCGGGGTAATTATTTGAGGGGGGTAATTAATAGAGTATATACGGTAGTCAGGTTTTACCGTGGATTAATTTCTTCACAAACTACAAAATAATCAGAGTAATACACATTTTATTTAAAATTAAAAAATAGTACAAATAAAATCTTCACTTGAATTTGAGTAATAAAATTCAAAAAAATTAAATTAAATATTTCTTTTATTTATCATAAAAATGTTTATCTATTAGTGTTTATCTATATATTCCAAGATTTTCTAAGCATATCAAAATGGCTATCAATTGACTGTTTTGCTTTTAAATCCTTTCCATTTAAAGATTTAAAGGATATATTTGCTTGATTATTTGTCAAATTTTTTGAGAAAAATACTGAATTTTTTGTTATTCCTTTAGTGTTGTTAGTAGAATCCTCTATTTTGTTTTTAGAACAAAATAATATTTTATTTTTCAGTTTTTGAATGAGTAATTTAACTTCTCTATTAAGATATGGATGAAAACTGAAAATTAAATTTTTATTTCGGTAAAAGTAAATCGGTGATAAAAAAATTTGTAATAAAACTCTAATTATTATCAACTTTAATTATTTTTGCAAGCTGAACTAAGTTAAAATTATTCATAAATACCCTTCCATCATTTCTCTAAAAATTATCTCATATTTTACCTTCTTTTCTAGCTTAAGGAGGTGTGTGGTATTTCTTAGAATTAGGGTAGCACCCTGAGCCTTCGGGGACGGAATCGTCGGAGATGGGGGTCCGGGGTAGAGCCTTCGGGGGTTCGGGTCAGGGTTTTTGCCTAAAAAATAGTTGGGGTTTCGGGGTGCTACCCTAGTTTGAATGGTTCGCCCCTGTGGTTGTTCAATTTTCACGGATTTGTATTTCGGTCAAATCAAGTCGGATTTTGTTGATTGTGTCATTCGACACAGCTCGGTGGGTTCTACAATTGTTGTCCAGACTGACCATTTTTACATATTTTTCGAAAAGACTGACTGGGGGGGGGGGGGGGGAACTAAATAAGTACCGTTTGAATGACATAGATTTTTTGTTTTCTTATCATTTATCACCGTTATATAATAAAAAATATTTTCCTTACATAATTATTGTAACTTCAACAATAAACAAATTCAAAGTAACCACAATACTTAAAGATTGAGTAATTATATCCTCATTAAATTCATTAATAAAAAAATTAAAATAAATAAATGTTTGGCATCCAAAAGTAAATAAAACATTTATAAAATAAAAAATTAAAGAAGGAATTAATTGTTTTATTGTTCGAATATTTTCGCTTAACTTTAAATAAAAATGAAATTTAAATAAATATTTTTATTTTATTTTTTACTTGATATCTTTCTGATAAACTTGTAAAAGTAATTTGCTTTTTTTCATAAATATTTTTATTTTTATTGAATATTATAAAGAAAATCTGAAAATTTTTTTTAATTAAAAAGACAAATAATTTACCAAAATTTCAATAAAAGCAATCAAAATAATTATTAAATAAGTTATTAAATTGGCTAAAGTAGCTGGATTGTCTTCTGTTATTTTTTGATCGGAATGATCAGAATATGAATTGTAGGCAGATGATAGGGACTAAATTAAAGATAAATGATTATTTTGAATTTAAATAAAATTAAATTTCTGTTTAAACTATTGTTTGGGGCAATAACTCGAGAAGATTCATTTAGAATTTAAATCTCTCTTTTTTACTAAAATTTAGTAGAATTTCGATATAGTAGAAAAATATAAAGTTAACTCAAATCACTCTCGGAATTTGGCATACAAACCAAATTTTTATGTTTATTTAAACGGGCCTTATTTTGGAATTTAATTATCTTTTACTTTTTTAGACTCAAAATAAATTAAAAAATTTATAGAAGATTGGCAAAATTTTGTTTTGGTAGAAGAAGGGGTGTGCTGAATATCTTATTATTCACTGAAAGTATGTAAATTTGTTTATTATTGTCAAATCTCGTTTGATTTATGAGAGACAATATTCAATATTTTTTGAATCCGGTACATTCTGGTCTAGCTACTAATCCTTTTTTAAGTTTAATTTCTAATAAAAATTACCAAAATTAAAAACCAAATAATTCCAAAATATTTTTTCTTCTTAACTTCATAATTACCAACAAATATTGTTGCAATTAATCGTTCAAGTACAATTACATGTCCAATCAAAATAAGAAAATAATTACAAAAAAGACCAGAATGATGTAAAATCTCAGAGTCGTCCCAAGTAAAATTATTTAACGAAAAACGAAAAATAATTGTTGTAATTCTTAAATTAATCAATTTAATTATGATAAAATAGAGCGAAGAAATAAATATATTTAAAAATATGGATCTAATTTTATTTTATAATCTAATTAAAGTTACACCAACAAAATATTGTATATGTAAGTATTCCATATAACCTGTATTAATTGCCCTCCCTCAAATAATTACACCACTTCCATTAATTACCCCATCCTGCGATAGATTGAAACAATAATTACCCCCAACAAATGCCCTAAAACACGTTCAAATTTCAAACCTCGTATAATTACCCTCCCTCGATTAATTACTCCCTCCAACAGAAGCTCGAAACAATAATTACTCAGGGTAGGTATTAAGGATATAAAATATTTATTTTTGTCGGCTTTTATAAATTTTTTTGAAATATTAAGATAAATTAAAATTTTTATTTTAATTTAAAAAACTAAATATAAAAATACTACAAAACTTAAATTATAAATACCTTAAAATAGCTCTTTGAATAATAAAAAAACTTTGGCATAACAAAATTAATTTTAAATTAAAATGAATAACGGATATTTTTAAAATTAAACGAAAATTAATTAAAGATAAAAATAAAACTAAAAATTGGATAAATAATTCAAAAATATTTAAAATTAAAAATATTGTTGGAAGATCATTTAAATAAGCTGATGAGGAAGAATTAGTAATATTCATAGAAGAATTAATATTTGTTGACATTTATTTGAATAATTTTTAAATTTTTGATTCTGAAAAAATTTAAAATTTTGTAAATATCCAGCCCTCTATCAGCGTGGGTGTCATTAACGAACTTTTACTTTTGAGTGAATTATTGCCAACAGGAATGGAAATTTGTACTCGAAATTTTACGCTTTTAATTAAGTGCAATTTATAATTATGTTGATTTATTTGTTTCGACAAAAATAAATTCGATATAATTACAAATTTGGGTTTCGCAAAATATTTTAACCTTGTAAAAATATTTTTATATTTTAATCCATTAAGTTAAAATTAAATGAAATGAGAAATTGAACAAAAATTGAATATTGCCGCAATATGATGGGGGGGGGGGGGTCGGACAAATGCTAAATAAGTACAATAAAAAATAAAAAAATATTGAATAAATAATGGTCAATCTTTGATATTGTTCCCTATTTTTAAAAGATTATTTTAACTGGTTACCAAATTATTTTGAATATTTAAGTTGCAAGAAATTGTTTAGAGTATTCTGTTTCCTTTGTTATTAACTATACTTTGACTTTAATTTTGATAGAATTTAGTATTTGTGTTTACATACAAATCGAAAATGTGTGAGAGATTGAAAGGATTTCAACTCCTTGAATTTAAAGAAAAAGCGCAAGTGTTAGACGATTTATCGAATGAGCTATTTTTACAATAATGTTCAACTTTTAATATTGTTACCGATTTTTTAATAAAAAATCGCTTATCTAATTAAATAGCCAAATTAAAACAACCCTTATTTCTTTACCAAATAAATACTTATAATTTCCCATTTACTGTAAGAATAAATAATGGCAAAAAATAATTAAATAACACAATCTTTATGTATTAAATACTTTAAAGAAAATTATGAGTGGGATAATTAAATAAATATAATTATTACATATATATTTATGAGCTAAAAATTATTTTATTATTAATATCACTTATAAATTAATTATTTTATGTGTAACAAATAATTTCTTTTAGTCGACACACCTTAATCAGTTTAAAATTATTATTTAATTGTGAAATATATTTTTGTTTCTTTTATTATTTACCGTAAATGCTCTAATAGAAGCACACTCTCTGAAAGAAGCACACTCTCTAATATAAGCACACCCTACGAGAGGATCGAAAAATAAAAGCACACTCTCTAGCAGAAGCACACTCCCCAATATAAGCACACCCCTAGTATAT